TAAAGCACTTTGTTATGATGCCTGTGCAGTTAGAGAATCGTATAAAAAGAATGTGCGATAGGCAGTTGTCGTGATAAAGTGTAACCTTGTTAATCCGCATTTAAATTGGGATACCCCTGTTAACTGTACATTTATTATGCCGAGGGGGGGAGGGAGGGAGGGAGGGGGGTTTTCTTTTCATTCAAATTAAAATATCTCCCTATTCCTCTTRTCACGAATTTTTCAAGGCCCCATAGAGAAGTTAAAAATTTTGTAAGAATACTTTAGCTCCCTTTCAAATAGTTCTATTAAAGGAAATAAGTGTTACTTATTACACATTAGTAAGAAAAAATATGAAAACATCGAAATTTTTAGGAATATCAAGAAATTTGAATTTCAAAAAGGGTGATAATAAGCATGTAGTAATGTATCCAGGTGATGCAAAAAGTGCTATCAGTTATTATCAGTTATTAGACAGATTTATGAGAATCACCTTATCTCAGTTTACYGCCTTTTGTCACAGAATCATCTTTTAGTGTGTCATGAAATATCATTTTAGGCAGTTTTCTTAAAGGGATTGTATTCCAAAAGATGGAGTTCATAATATTATATTATATATATTGCTATGTAGATTTGCTGACATCCTGTATAAATCTTTTGAGTCTCAACATACAAACATTTTGTCTGAAGAAAGAATCAACTTTTAGTTTCTTATGAAATATCATTGTCTWGACAGATTTCTTATAGGAAGTTGTAAATGGCACTCCTCAACAAAATACATTTGATGTTCTTGATAATATAATAATTTTTTGGCTGAATAATCACGAGTTCTCATTGGTAATAATCTGCTCATATCATGGGGACACTTTGTGGTGGACTGACCCAGATGGAAGCTGTACAGTCTACAGAGTCAATATTCTCCTAGTGCTCACAAATGTGAGATATATTTATGGATGATTGCACATAAGCAAGAATAGGTTGACAATTCCTGCCCATGTGCCTGGCTATCTAAGCCAGCAACAGATCATGAACAGACACAGGTGTCAAGCTATAATATTATGTGTCATACTAATACCGTGCCTGGCTATCTAAGCCAGCAACAGATCATGAACAGACACAGGTGTCAAGCTATATTATGTGTCATACTAATACCGTGCCTAGCTATCTAAGCCAGCAACAGATCATGAACAGACACAGGTGTCAAGCTATAATATTATGTGTCATACTAATACCGTGCCTGGCTATCTAAGCCAGCAACAGATCATGAACAGACACAGGTGTCAAGCTATAATATTATGTGTCATACTAATACCGTGCCTGGCTATCTAAGCCAGCAACAGATCATGAACAGACACAGGTGTCAAGCTATATTATGTGTCATACTAATACCGTGCCTAGCTATCTAAGCCAGCAACAGATCATGAACAGACACAGGTGTCAAGCTATAATATTATGTGTCATACTAATACCGTGCGTGGCTATCTAAGCCAGCAACAGATCATGAAACAGTTGTTCCTTCTTCATTGTCTAACTCATCCTTGGGAGGTTTAGTAAAAGAGTTTCACATGTAACTTCCCTCAGCTTTGAGGACATTTAATCATTAATATCCCTGATATGGCATGGTATTACTTGTAAGAGTAATATTCATTTCAATTTGAACAGTGGGATTATGCTTTCTTAAAGAAAATATATGTAGGAGTTTGCCTTGTTGTAAATTCAATAACTTTTAAGTTAAACAATTAAGTTTAATGATTGCAGTGCTCAAGCACTATCCCTGCCATAAAGTTTGTAGGGATGGATGAGATAGACAAATCAAGGTTATAAGGTCCTCTGAGGACGGGCAAAGTGTGTTTAGCCTAGAAATAAGACTAACTGATTTGCTAAATTGCAAATGAATATTCTAGAAGATCAATGTGTCGTGGATAGAAGTCAGGACTTGTGATGCTAAAATTTGTTTCAAATCTTATCAGCACAAAGTAGAGTCATGTTATCAGCAAAGGAGAGAAATATACTTTGCATGCAGACGACTCTAAAACAGATGTACTATGTTAAAGTTTGTTATTATAAATGTAATATAGTTTGACAACAAGAATCTTAGGCATGAACTGTCTTTAATTATTKTAGCTGCATTTCAAAGGACACATGCACAGTTTGGACACATCGACATTGTCTGCAATAATGCTGGTATTTTCAGTAAGCATGACATGGCTGACAACGTTTTTGAGAAAGTGATTGACATCAATATGGTAATTACAATCATACTGATTGATGTTGTAAAAAAATAAATTATAATTATTACACAAAAATAAATAAACATCTACATGGTTTGGCTRTTAGGATTTGAAAACAAGGTCATGGGTTTAATTGACGTCAAAGGACTTGGTTCTTTTCTTCTGTCAAAGCTATTAGACAACTTTCTTTCTATCTTTTCTAGCTGTTTATTCACTTTATTGATGAGTATTTTCTTTATGTTTTTAATTTCACCATTAATTGACAGTTTATCTTGTATATGGGCCCATGTTTGGAAATTAGGCTATTACAAAATAACAACTTCTCAGAGGCTATTACAAAATAACATTGCTAACATATTCCATACTTATAACAACAATTATGTTACTGTGTAGAAAGGTGTTATTTTGGGTACTAAACTTGGTCTTCAGTACATGGGCACATCAGGTAGTAAAGGTCATGGTGGAGTCATTGTCAATGTTGCTTCTGTTGCAGGTAAACTGCTAATTTCCTCATTCATTGAATGCCAAAGGCTCAAAGCAAAATGTCTGCTAGTACCAAAGGTTCGTTTTGTYTTCACTCAATGCATACTTGTTTTTGTTAGCTGTTTGTCGACGGYGCTTTGAGCCAACAAAAACAAGAAGAGAGAGAAGGGTAAAAAAATTCGAACCTCTGAGAACAGAGTAAGACAATTATTCTGACTGGTAATTCAAATGCTTACTTTTGAGTTGTGTGTGTGTGGTTTTTTTGTTTTTTGTTTTTTTTCTATAATAGCTTGATTGTCCTATCGCATAATTACGTCACACCAAGCTAAGGATTATGAGGTCCACCAGTACGACTAGGAGAAACCTCTATATTACGGTGGTCAGAAGAAGAGCTTCTTTAGTTCAATGTTTTTATAGGTTTGGTACCTGCACCTGATCATCCTGTCTATGCGGGCACTAAACACGCCGTGGTTGGTTTTACCAGAAGTCTTGCTATCGTAAGTAACTGCACTAGACGGCTATAAGTCGTAGTAACTGCACCTATTTGTTGTAGTCTGTTAAGTGCGATCGATGTCGAGTTGTAATCAAACTT